TCAGTGTCAGCCATATTTTTACGGCATCTGCAACATTACTTCTCGGATTCTGACAAGTATTTATAAGCACACATACATAATCCAATAATTCAATCGTTTCTGACAAACGGATCTTAAAATTATCATCAAATATAGTATTGAAAACATGATTATTTATGCGAATATTTTCCATCATGGCTACTTGTTGCATTTTAGTTAAATTTTTCTGAATAGATTGACAACTGTCCCTAAAATATCCAAAACGTGTATCGGGATAATTTTGCACTTTTGAACCACCGTGGTTAATTATTAATAACTGCAATTTTGGTTCCCGAAATACATAAACTATTTAACGCACTATCTCAGCAAACGTGGGATCAACGAGGGTCTTTAAAAATGAATTACCACTATGACTGCTGCATGTTGATTGCCATAAATGTGTTTTCTCATACGAGTCAGCTAAACGGGCTCCACAAACAATCTTACTGTCGTTATCAGTCACAACACTAAATACTTCAATGTTGTAGTTTTCTTTGGCAAAAACCATGGCATCACTTATAGCAATGGCTAAAGACTCTCCATCCTCTGACTGTAAAGCGTAATCTAAAAATGTCAAAAAGGTGTGAGGAGTATTCTTATTTTTAAGAGAAAAAACTAGATATTTTTTGTTGTTGCTCTTATTCTTCCAACCATCGACTAACAAAACACTTGGTGTGTTGTTGAGCAACTTGAACCTCTCCTCAGTAATTGTCTTATGAACACGTTGTACACAAGAAGGGCCCAAAGTCTGCCTGCAAGGAGTGGTGTAAAAATTCTCACATTTTTGCAAAGCTTCCACAAAGTTTTTGAAGTGTAAGCTTTCAACTACTCGAAATGGTATGTTGCAGAATATAAAAATTTTTGTTAATAGTTCATGAAGTTGTTCGGTAGTTAATAATGTGTTTGCTCCAGTTTCATCAACATTTATCTGAAAAAACATACCCAGAGATATCAAGATTTGGAAGTATTCAAAGACATCGAGTATGATATGTATGTTACTATAATTGAAAAATTAGATCAGTTGCTGATGCATATTTTGATTTGATATGGTGAAATTTGTGGTCTTGATAGGGACATTTACCGTATGCAAATTATAATATACACTCTTTAACCTGTAATAAGTTTCATGGATAACAGTAAGTAAAAAGTATTACGGGACATTACACACTAAAGAGGNCGACTGCTTTGTTCATAAAAGTGGCTTAGTTCATCGCTACGTGCTTATAAAAACACGTATGGATTTGTAAAAAAATTCTGCGAGAGTGTTGGGCTGAAAAAAAAAAAAAAAATGGAGTCAAATAAAAGAAAACCGAGACCTACAGCATTTTTGAAAAAACTGTTTCCTACAGCACCGACCCACATGGTAACGACAGTTTCTGCTTCGGTACACTACCTCCAACGCTAACGCCACCTGCCCTGGCCTTCTATACTTAAAGAGATATATTCTATATTCTCTGGTGCAATCTCCGCGCAACATCTTCACGGATCTTCAAATACACACTTTTGATTTGTTATAACCAAACAACGGTGAAGCTACGGGTGCTGTTCTTGAAATACGATGTTTAAAACATACTATTTTACACTATATTTCAATTTCAGCAAAGTCTGAAATTTTTTTTAATCGCAATCTGTAAAATACTGTTTTTCCGATAAGAGTCCGTGTTAAATAGATAATTTGTTTCTCAAAAACGGTGAAGCGAGGGTATTTAAAATTTAANTGTTATACTAATCATGCCAAGTATTACATGGACATGCACTTTGCACCCTAGGGCTTTACTGAAGGTGATTATTTCATGATTTGTGAGTTGGAGACACGACTGTCGAATTAATACCTATTATAACTGTTTAAGCGTCAAACATTATTTGTAAATATTAATACAGGTTTAAGAATTTTGCAAAATATTGACATGTTTTGCTCTGTAATAAAATATTTACCTTATTTAAGTATTTCAAAAATTGTAAGCAATTGTAATATAGATTCAGGATGATCTTTAAAAAATTGACTATTTTTTGTTGATCTCATTACTTTGTAAATCTTTATTTTCGTTTGGCGAAATTTTTTATTTACTTAGATATTTTACAAAGATATGTTATTATTCCATTATTTTTTGTAAATAATAAATCTTTCGTGTAGCAACAAATTGGACTATTTTTTGATGATCTCATTA